CTGATAAAAAAGTGATATTTAAACTATAAAACTTAACGTTATTTATATAAAAAGTCTAAAATATCAATTTTGTTAATTGTAGTAACTAAAATATTTTTTATTGATTTTACTTAGCGAAAATAGATAAATAGTTAGATTGAAAACAAATAAAAATATTAAGATTTTAAATTAACAATTTAAATTTTAAAATTTATTTTGCTACAAACTCAAAACTTGAGAAATTTTTGTTTTGTGATTTCCCCATAACATCATCATGCCACATTTTTGCTAATAGCGGTGAGACAATTAAATTCAAATGACAAATACTTTTATTTATAATTATAATCATCATAAAATTATTGTCTATTCTAAATTAATTCACTACATCTAATTGTAAGAAAACATATGATAAATTTTTCTTGCAAATTAATGTGACATGCAATAATAAAATATTGATGTTTGAAGTAGACCACCCACTAAAATTAAATGATAGAATAATTTAAGTTGGTTAGAAAAATTTATTTGCACAACATTATCTTTTTTAAAAAAATCTTTCTTGAAAATATTATTGTGTTTGTTTGCCACAAAATAATAAGTGGATTGACTATCATCAGTTTGATTTTATTTTTTTATTTATTTATTTATATATATATATATATATCTATATTTATATACAAGAACCGCTTAGCTGCTTGAAATTTTTTTTTTAATTTTTTATTTTGCCTTTTCATTTTGAATAATTTACTAATTGTGACATATATATTGAGGGAAGATTTTTTTGTAATTACGCAAACATTTTTAATCAATTATGCATCAGGTTTTTTCGTAATTATGTAAACATTCTTGGTTAATTAACAAATTATAAATACGCCCATAATGTTTGTTTAAAATATGAATCGGTCCTATAATACTAGAAATTTCAACTGTCATTTGTTATAAATTTTAATTTAACACAATACTCATGAAAAAAAAAACTATTCTTCTATGCAATAATAAATTATCAAAATTATTTATAGAAAAATATTTTTCATATCATTAAAAGTTGCTAATTGACTTAATGATTTATTTATTAACAAAATAGTTAACTGAAAAATATTTTTTATATCATTAAAAATTGTTAATTTACTTATTAATAAAATTGATCATTTGCTATGTGAGTATGATTTATGTATGACTAATTGAAAATTAGTCATTTGTATATATATATATATATATGTGTGTGTGTGTGTGTATTTTCTTTTACTCATTCTTTAGTTCAATGAATTATCTTAGTAGTTATTTTTAGATAGGACAATTATTTTAGTATTTTTTTATATTTATTTGTTGAGAAAAGTTACACACCATAATTTTTGTTTTTTTTTTTTATAAATTCGGAAGAAATGTTGAAAACTCATAAATTCACTTAAAATGATATGGAATATAACTTTAAATCTTATATGTTTGTTTCTTAATTTGCATTAAGATTAGGGAGAGTTGTTATTTTATTTGAGTTTTGTAGAGCGTGTAATACAAGCAAAATTGTTATAAGTTCTTTAAGAAGAAAAATATTTCAACATATTTTTTCAGTATCTTTGTCAAAAAATGACACAAACTTTATAAATTTCAACATAATACGTATAAATTATAACTACATTTTAATCTTAAAATTATTTACACCGTGCCTTTAGGCACGGGCATACGCTAGTATATATACATCGAATAGCAGTGATTCGGTTGCATAAATTTAATATACATGCATCTCTATTTGGTAAAATGGCACACTAGAATGATTTTTTTTTCTTTTTAAGAGAAAAAAAAAAAAAAAAAACTTACTTGCAATGCGAATCCAAGCCCAGATGGTATAGAATTGCTAGGTCCGCAGCCAGTAGAGACTCTTTTGCCAATTCTACTGCTAATCATGATTCAATTTTCGGAAACAAAGTCAATTGACACAGTAAGTGGCTTTGAGTTGTAAATAAAAAAAAAAAAAACTTGCAATGCGAATCCAAGCCCAGATGGTGTAGCATTGCCAGGTCTGCAGGCAGTACAGACTCTTTCGCCAAATCTACTGCTCTGCTAATCATGATTCAATTTTGGGAAACAAAGTTGCGTTGCCATATCCAGGTCCAGATGGAACAGTATTGCTATGCAGTCAGTTGACGCTCTTTTTACCAAATCATCTGCTAATAAAGATTCATTCTCCATATCAGTTGCTAACCTTCGATTGATTCTTCCACTGCTGCTTCAAAAATCAATTTCAATAGTTACTTTTTAAAAAAAAATATCGACAAGCGGAACATTGAACCAGAATTCAAGTTTTCACCTCAGTCTATAGGCATACAACAGGGGCAGTGCATGAAAGTGTACGTTTCCATCTTAATTTGTTAGATGAACAAAATAAATCACTTTGATTTAACCATATAAAAGGTTCTGAATGTCAGGAGCCAAATGAGATACTTTTCCACAACAAATGCTCAATAAAACCCCCCAATATAGTACACAATGGACACCAAGCTGAAAGAGATTTATATTTTCTGGGTTTAAACATTCACATGCTTCACCTCTTGAAACACTATTTTTTGCATCTGCCTCACCTAAATTAGCTTCAAACCCCAGCATTCTGAAAGACCTCATAGTCCCAATCCACCTCAAATCAATGGGATCTTAATTAGTTTTAAGTAACAGACCTGGTGAATCATAAAGGTCCAGACATTTGGCGACTTTATACTATACAATTAAGAAACTCCCTAGATATGTCCTCAAAGACTAAGGCCAAGTTTGGCTACCCAAAATAAGTACACACTTTTTATCTTTTTATCTTTTTTCCATCACATCACCTCTCTACTTTTCTGCATTTTTTTTCGTAAAAAGACAAAAAGTACACTTATTTAGGTTATCCCAAACAACTCCTAAATTTCGAGCTTGACTAATTACAAAGTTTGTTTCAAACTTAGTCACCAATGCACAGTTACAGCATTTTTAACTAGGGAAATATGGAAGCTCCACAATAGTTAACCCCCATTTCGCTAACAATTTCCACAGAAAGCTTCTAGCAACATTTGGTAAGGACTCTCCAGCACTTGTGCAGAAATTTGCAACAGATGCAATTAGAGAAGATTCAGATAGAAATAGATGATGGGTTGCACCTGCAAGCAACAAGGCATATGCTACACTGGTTCTACTTCTCTCAAAAGCTTCCAGCTGAAGTTTGTCCTTTCGAGGATCCAGAGCCAACAAGAGCTCAACAAAGGAGTTATGAGAATCTCTGGACAAGAAATACAGGACTGAGGATGCTAGGGCAAAGAAATTTGTCGTTGGCCAATTCCTAGACTTTAAAATGATAGATTCAAAAACTGTGATAAGCCAAGTCCAGGAATTCCAAGTGATCTTGCATGAAATTCATGCTGAGGGGATGCCTTTGAACAAGTCATTCCAAGTTGCTGTGAGAAACTTCCCAATGGTTGAAAGGACCTCAAGAACTACTTGAAGCACAAGCGCAAGGAAATGTCAGTTGAAGACCTAATTATCCGAGTCCGAATTGAGGAGGATAATAGAAAGAAATGAGGGAGTACTTCCTCTGTGAAAGCCAATGTCATTGAGCATGGCAAATCTTCTAGGGTGAGGAAGAAGCCCTCCGTGAACAAGGGCTAGAAGTTGGGGCCAAGGGGTGTTGTTGTAAAGAAGTCGGCATACAAGCCACAGGAACCTGGTTATCGATGGATTGATACTGGGGTTACATGTCACATCTGCTTTGAGAAGAAGCTGTTTACAACTTTCGGGTCGGTTATAAACGACGAGAAATTGTTTATGGGGAATTCTTCTACTTCAATTGTTGAGGGGAAGGGAAATGTGGTCCTAAAGTTGACCTCTGGAAAGGAGCTGACCTTAAACGAAGTCCTGTATGTTCTGGACATACGTAAAAATCTTGTCTTGGGGTCTCTTCTCAGCAAACATGGTTTTCGTATGGTTTTTGAGTCCGACAAGGTTGTTCTGACCAAAAGCGGAGTGTATGTGGGTAAGGGATATATGTTTGGGGGGGGGGTATGTTCAAACTCAATGTAATAACTCTTATCCCAAAGATGAATAAAGATGCATCTTCTTCTGTTTACATGCTTGAGTCTTCCAATTTGTGGCATGGTAGATTAGGACATGTGAACTTTGAATCTTTGCGTAGATTAATCAAGTTAGATTACATACCATCTTTTAAGATTAATATGAAACACAAGTGTGAAACTTGTGTTGAAGCGAAGTTGACAAGATCTTTGTTTCATTCTATTGAAAGAAGTTCAGAACTGTTGGACTTAGTGCATAGTGATGTGTGTGACTTAAAGTTTATACAATCACGTGGTGACAATAAGTACTTCATCATTTTTGTTGATGATTGCACTAAGTATTGTTATGTATATTTACTCAAAAGTAAAGATGAGGCTATTGACAAGTTTGTTCTTTATAAGAATGAAGTTGAGAATCAATTAGGTTGCCAGATTAAGGCTTTAAGAAGTGATCATGGTGGTGAGTATGAATCATTGTTTATTGAGATTTGTGCTCAATCCAAGATTATCCACCAAACCACGGTGTCTTATTCTCTTCAATCAAATGGGATTGTTGAGCGGAAAAATAGGACGGTAAATGAGATGATGAATGCAATATTGATAAGTTCTGGATTACCACAGAACTTGTAGGGGGAAGCAATTCTTTCTGCGAATTACATTCTAAATAGAATCCCTCGGAAGAAAGTAGACAAGACTCCATATGAATTAAGGAAAGGCCGCAAGCCTTTTTATAATTTCCTACGAATGTGGGGGTGTCTTGCAAAAGTGGTGGTGCCTACACCCAAGCGGGTTCGGATAGGACCGAAGTCAGTGGATTGTGTATTCATTGGATATGCATTACTGTATTATTTTGGGGGCGTGACCACTTGGTATCAGAGTGTACCGGGTTTGAATACTTTGGGTACGTGGGAAGTGGTTAGTGCCACAATGAGTTTGTCTCGCTTGGTCGTGACGTTTATGTACATTGTATACTTATGTGATAACATCAATTGTGCAATTTATTAGAGACTAACTATGAACTACAAAGTGGGAAAAAAGTTGGGGTTCAACAACAAGTTGCTATTTTTGTATTTATTGTTGGTCAACATGCAAACAATAGAAATGCTCAAGAAAGATTTCAATTATCGGGTGAAACTATTTCAAAATACTTCCACTCTGTTTTAAAAGCGTGTGTGAAAATGTCCGTGGATTGGGTGAAGCCTTGGCAGAGAAATGGGGTTCATCCGTGCATAAAGAATAGCCGAAAATATTACCCTCATTTTAAGGTAACTACAAATACTCTCTCTTTGTCTCTCTCTCTCTCTCTCTCTCTTAAAAAAAATATTTTCTGATATTTTTTGTATGTAGAATTGCATTGGGGCAATTGATGGAACACATATCAAAGCTCATGTGGAAGCAGAATACTTACCCCGTTTCATAGGTAGGAAGGGATATGCTATACAAAACATATTGACAGTGTGTGACTTTGATATGTGTTTCACATTTTGCTTGCCTGGTTGGGAGGGAAGTGCACATGACACGCGAATTTTTTGGGATACAATTAGGAATCCAAACAATAATTTTCCATATCCAGAAGGAGGTATGTATGTAACACAAATTAAGATTTATTCATTTATTCTATATTAGTTATATTTGTAATGAGTTCATATTTTACTTTGTAGATGAGTATTATTTGGTTGATTCTGGCTATCCAAACACAAAGGGTTATCTTGCGCCGTACAAAGGGGAGAGATATCATTTAGCTCAATTTGACCATCGGCCTCCTCAAACTGCACATGAAAAATTCAACAAAACACATTCATCACTCAGGAGCGTAATAGAAAGATCATTTGGTGTTTGGAAAGCAAGATGGCCTTTTATGAAAGATATTCCGTGCAATTATAATTTTGTTTGTCAACGACAACTTGTTTGTGCTACTATGGCGATCCACAACTTCATTAGACGAACTAAGTTAAGGGATATTCCATTTGACTCTTATGATAAACATATTGAGTATGTCCCTGTTGACGAGGAAGTAGTGGTAGGGGAAGACCGACATGGGCATCCGGTTCGTAATGATGATTATGAGATGGATTCAAGAAGATATGAGATTTTAATGTCAATTTCTCAAGGAAATAATTATTAAAATATAATAAATTTATTTTGTGTAATATTTATTTCATTGTATTATTATTTAAAAATGACAGGGTTATGTTAATTTGGTGTTGGAATGATCTCTTAATATGTAATTAATAGCAAAAAGTCTAGAAAAATTCAATTTACAACTAACAAGGGTAAAAAAGACATTTACACAACAAAAAGCTACTTCACAGCTTATTTAACAAACACTACTCAGCAACTTAAATCTATAATCCAACAGCTACACCAAACAGATTAACAGCTTCTGATTAAAATCATAATTTATAATCTGTTAAGCTATTATCTATAATCTGTTTTAACAGCTACACCAAATGGCCCCAATGTCCCATATAGGGTGAGCCAACGCCCAGTAGAGATATACTAAACACAATATGAGTAGTAACTAAGACATTAGCAATTGATAAATGTTTGACTTATATAAACCAATTCATATACCACTTTCATTACATGACCACATTGTCCATATTTCATTTCACTTTCCATCTCTTATCAAATTCACAATTCACAACAACGGCTCAGAACCTGACCAACACTTTACATGAGGTAGTGACTCATATTAAACATTTTCCATTTCACAATAGATAAACATATTAGCTATATCAACACTTCGATAGATAAGCATATGAGCTATATCAACACTTCCATAGATAAGCATATGAGCTATATCAACACATTAACTGATAAGCATATGAGCTGTATCAACGGAGTCTATCCCCTATCTCCTCCCAAACAACATCCGGTTTAGAGGTCCATCCCCTATCTTTTCCTAAATCGTGGAGTACATCCCCTATCTCTTCCCCCACACACACAACGTATATACACAAAGGTCATATACATAATCAATTAATACATAAAGTTAATGTATTCTTTCAATCGTCATACTCTATGACACATCCAATTGATTAGTTTTAGTTTGCCTAATCATCATGCATTGTCTACAACAATCAAAACTACCCTCCACCGGTAGCCCAAAGCAATTATTTCTAAACAGATAATAAAAGTACCAACAGATAAAATATCCACATTTTCTAAAAGTGAGCGATTAATAAATCCGACTTCACTAATCCATCTCATAATGAGCCAATTTCATTATATTCAACTCAATTCCACAATTTCTCACCAAATGTCATTAATTACACTAATGACCCAAATATACCCAAACATGGCATAATTCCCCTTTGTTCTCAATATTGACTCCAAGAGTCCATATATTACCAACAACATCAACCTACTCATTTTGAAACCCCAATACATGTTTATGGTCCAAAATAATCAAAACCCTCTTTTCAAAAATATACATTTGAAACCCTAGTTTCCAAAACCCAAAACCATTTATACAAAATACTCAATATCTAGGTCAAAACCCATAAGAGTGAGTAGGAATCCCTACCTCAAAAGACGAAACCCAACGAAGGAAAAAAAAAAAAAACTTACTTGCAATGCGAATCCAAGCCCAGATGGTATAGAATTGCTAGGTCCGCAGCCAGTAGAGACTCTTTTGCCAATTCTACTGCTAATCATGATTCAATTTTCGGAAACATAGTCAATTGACACAGTAAGTGGCTTTGAGTTGTAAAAAATAAAAAATAACTTGCAATGCGAATCCAAGCCCAGATGGTGTAGCATTGCCAGGTCTGCAGGCAGTACAGACTCTTTCGCCAAATCTACTGCTCTGCTAATCATGATTCAATTTTGGGAAACAAAGTTGCGTTGCCATATCCAAGTCCAGATGGAACAGTATTGCTATGCAGTCAGTTGACGCTCTTTTTACCAAATCATCTGCTAATAAAGATTCATTCTCCACATCAGTTGCTAACCTTCGATTGATTCTTCCACTGCTGCTTCAAAAATCAATTTCAATAGTTACTTTTTAAAAAAAAATACCAACAAGCGGAACATTGAACCAGAATTCAAGTTTTCACCTCAGTCTATAGGCATACAACAGGGGCAGTGCATGAAAGTGTACGTTTCCATCTTAATTTGTTAGATGAACAAAATAAATCACTTTGATTTAACCATATAAAAGGTTCTGAATGTCAGGAGCCAAATGAGATACTTTTCCACAACATATGCTCAATAAACCCCCCCCCCCCATATAGTACACAATGGACACCAAACTGAAAGAGATTTATATTTTCTGGGTTTAAGCATTCACATGCTTCACCTCTTGAAACACTACTTTTTGCATCTGCCTCACCTAAGTTAGCTTCAAACCCCAGCATTCTGAAAGACCTCATAGTCCCAATCCACCTAAAATCAATGGGATCTTAATTAGTTTTAAGTAACAGCCCTGGTGAATCATAAAGGTCCAGACATTTGGCGACTTTATACTATACAATTAAGAAACTCCCTAGATATGTCCTCAAAGACTAAATTTCGAGCTTGACTAATCGCAAAGTTTGTTTCAAACTTAGTCACCAATGCACAGTTACAGCATTTTTAACTAGGGAAATATGGAAGCTCCACAATAGTTAACCCCCATTTCGCTAACAATTTCCACACAAAGCTTCTAGCAACATTTGGTAAGGACTCTCCAGCACTTGTGCAGAAATTTGCAACAGATGCAATTAGAGAAGATTCAGATAGAAATAGATGATGGGTTGCACCTGCAAGCAACAAGGCATATGCTACACTGGTTCTACTTCTCTCAAAAGCTTCCAGCTGAAGTTTGTCCTTTCGAGGATCCAGAGCCAACAAGAGCTCAACAAAGGAGTTATGAGAATCTCTGGACAAGAAATACAGGACTGAGGATGCCAGGGCAAAGAAATTTGTCGTTGGCCAATTCCTAGACTTTAAAATGATAGATTCAAAAACTGTGATAAGCCAAGTCCAGGAATTCCAAGTGATCTTGCATGAAATTCATGCTGAGGGGATGCCTTTGAACAAGTCATTCCAAGTTGCTGTGAGAAACTTCCCAATGGTTGGAAGGACCTCAAGAACTACTTGAAGCACAAGCGCAAGGAAATGTCAGTTGGAGACCTGATTATCCGACTCCGAATTGAGGAGGATAATAGCAAGAAATGAGGGAGTACTTCCTCTGTGAAAGCCAATGTCATTGAGCATGGAAAATCTTCTAGGGTGAAAAAGAAGCCCTCCGTGAACAAGGGCTCGAAGTTGGGGCCAAGGGGTGTTGTTGTAAAGAAGTCGACATACAAGCCACAGGAACCTGGTTATCGGTGGATTGATACTGGGGTTACATGTCACATCTGCTTTGAGAAGAAGCTGTTTACAACTTTCGAGTCGGTTACAAACGACGAGAAATTGTTTATGGGGAATTCTTCTACTTCAATTGTTGAAGGGAAGGGAAAGGTGGTCCTGAAGTTGACCTCTGGAAAGGAGCTGACCTTAAACGAAGTCCTGTATGTTCTGGACATACGTAAAAATCTTGTCTTGGGGTCTCTTCTCAGCAAACATGGTTTTCGTATGGTCTTTGAGTCCGACAAGGTTGTTCTGACCAAGAGCGGAGTGTATGTGGGTAAGGGATATATGTTGGGGGGGTATGCTTAAACTCAATTTAATGACTATTATCCCAAAGATGAATAAAGATGCATCTTCGTCTATTTACATGCTTGAGTCTTTCAATTTGTGGCATGCTAGACTAGGACATGTGAACTTTGAATCTTTACGTAGATTAATCAAGTTAGATCACATACCATCTTTTAAGATTAATCTTTGCGTAGATTAATCAAGTTAGATTACATACCATCTTTTAAGATTAATATGAAACACAAGTGTGAAACTTGTGTTGAAGCGAAGTTGACAAGATCTTTGTTTCATTCTATTGAAAGAAGTTCAGAGCTGTTGGACTTAGTGCATAGTGATGTGTGTGACTTAAAGTTTATACAATCACGTGGTGACAATAAGTACTTCATCATTTTTGTTGATGATTGCACTAAGTATTGTTATGTATATTTACTCAAAAGTAAAGATGAGGCTATTGACAAGTTTGTTCTTTATAAGAATGAAGTTGAGAATCAATTAGGTTGCCAGATTAAGGCTTTAAGAAGTGATCATGGTGGTGAGTATGAATCACTGTTTATTGAGATTTGTGCTCAATCCGGGATTATCCACCAAACCATGGCGCTTTATTCTCCTCAGTTAAATGAGAGTACTGAGCGGAAGAATAGGACGCTAAAGGAAATGATGAATGAAATGTTGATAAGTTTTGGATTGCCACAGAACATATAAGGGGAAGCAATTCTCTTCACGAATTACATTCTGAATAAAGTACCCCAAAAGAAAATGGACAATACCCTGAATGAGTTATTGAAAGACATCAAGCCTTCTTATAAGTTCTTACTAATGTGGGGGTGTCTTGCAAAAGTGGTGGTGCCTACACCCAAGCGGGTTCGGATAGGACCGAAGTCAGTGGATTGTGTATTCATTGGATATGCACATAATAGCAGTGCATATTGATTTCCTGTGTATAGATATATTATTCCAGATATACACAAGAATGCGATCATGGAATCAAAAAATGCATCTTTCTTTGAAAATATATTTCCGTGTCATCTCCAAGAAGGGATTCAAAATTCTATGAAAGAGGTTGAAGGTGACAATGATCACATAGTTGAAGATCAAACAGATGATCACTTAGATGATCGAGTTGATAATCAAGTTGGGGATATAGATGAGCCAAGAAGGAGTAAGAGGGCTAGGACTGCAATGTCTTTTGGTCCAAACTTCTTGACTTATATGTTAGAGAGAGAACTTCGAATTTTCCATGAGTCTGTGACTTCACCTGAAAATCCTTTGTGGAAAGAAGCAATTAAGAGTGAGATTGACTCCATCTTACAGAACCATACTTGGGAGTTGGTTGATCTACTCCCAGACTGTAAGGCCTTGGGGAGTAAGTGGATCTTTAAAAGAAAGATGAAAGCTGATAGGTCAATTGATAGGTATAAAGCTAGACTAGTTATCAAAGGATATAGGCAGCGTGAAGGCTTGGATTATTTTGATACGTATTCACTTGTGACAAGAATTACATCCATTCGCATAGTGATTACGATAGCAACTATATGTGGTTTGGAGATATATCAGATGGATGTAAAGACAACTTTCTTAAATGGAGATTTAGATGAAGAAATCTACATAGAGCAACTCGAGGGGTTCTCAGCTCCAGGACAAAATAAGAAAATCTATAAGCTTGTCAAATCATTGTATGATTTGAAGCAAGTTCCCAAGCAATGGCATGAGAAGTTTGATAACGCTATGTTGTCAAATGGGTTCAGAATCAATGAGTGTCGCAAATGCGTATATGTCAAAAACACTGACAGATGTTATGTCATTTTGTGTCTATACGTAGATGACATACTCATTGTTGGTAGTAATCATGAGATGATTCAAACTACCAAGAGATTATTAAACTCTAAGGCCCCGTTTGTTTTCAGAGGTAGAATGGAGGAGATTGATAGTGAGGGGATTAAGTAAAACTGTGTTTGTTTTAAAGATAGTTGTTAGTGTATGGATTGTTAAATTATTTTTACATAAAATAAATATAAAATAATAAAACAAATAAAAAAAATACAAAAACATTAAATATTAATGTTTTTAAAAAAAATGCCCAACATGTAAAAAATTAAAAAAAAAATTCCAGAAAAAAATAAAACAAATAAAATAATGATTTTTAGTTAACAAAAAATACAAAAAATTAAACATTAATGTTCAAAAAAAATGCCCGACATATAAAAAATAAAATTAAAAAAAAACTTTCTAGTCCGCCGGACTATTTTTCTAATACCAAGTCTTGGAGGCCCATCCAAATCCCCTTGGGGAGGCATATCCTAATCTGGAGCTCACTATCAATCCCCTCCCCATCTCTCAAAACAAACACAATATTAGTGAGTCTCACCTCATTACCAATCACAATCCCCCCTCTAACTCTCCAAACAAACGAAACCTAAGTTTGATATGAAAGATATGGGCCTTACAGATATTATTGTAGGTATTAAGATTACCAGAACATCTAGTGGTATTGTACTTTCTCAGTCTCACTATGTTGAGAAGATACTTGAAAATTTTGGTAAATCAGATACAAGTGTGTATAGGACACCGGCAGACGTGGGTTTACACTTGACCAAGAATAATGGTGAGAGTGTCTCTCAGCTAGAATATTCTCGGGTCATTGGAAGTTTGATGTATCTGATAAGTTGTACAAGGTCTGATATAGCCTACTCGATTAGCAGGCTTAGTAGATACATAAGTAATCCTAAAGCTACTCATTGGAGAGGCGTTATGCGGGTGTTAGGTTATCTACGCTACATCCGGGATTATGGGCTGCATTATACCAGATACTCAGCGATACTTGAAGGGTATAGTAACGCTAATTGGATATCTAATATAAAATACTCCAAATCCGCATGTGTTTACTCTTGGAGAGGCAGTCGTGTCTTGGAAATCTTCCAAGCCAACGTGTGTATCGAGATCAACGATGGAATCTGATTACATTGGATAAAGCAACTGAAGAAGCTGAATGGCTTCGCCAGTTCGTTAAGGATATTCCACATTGGTCTAAACCTGTGCCAGCCATCTGTATTCATTGTAATAGCCAATCGACTATTGGACGGGCACAGAGTAATATGTATAATGGAAAGTCTAGATATATTCGTTGTAGGCATAATTCTATACGACAACTACTCTCAAATGAAATTGTCACTTTAGACTATGTAAAGTCTCAGGACAACACTGCGGATCCGCTAACCAAAAGGTTAAATCGAGTGTTAGCAGAGAAGTTGTCAGAATGAATGAGGTTAAGGCCTTTAGTGTAAGGTGTTATCGGAATAGAAACCCAACCTAGTTGACTAGAGATCCCAATATCTAGGTTCAATGGGATGACCTAATTGCGTGTAACGGTGGTATGTCACTGAAGAGGTTAAACCTCCAGCCATTCCTTTTATCAGTGATACCTGCAAGTGTAAAGGTGAAGCTAAGTTTTTAATGACTCTAGTGTGTTGAGCTGAGTATAGCAGGATACTCAAGTAGAGTCACCTATGTGAGTGTGAAGTGGGGCTACTTCTATAAGAATTGATAGGGCCTACTTTTTTAAACCACTCACTGAACCAGACTAGTGTTCTAGGGCTAAACCGGACACAACAGTGAGATTAGAACGATGGTTGGAGTAATTCTTGTGTGAGATCTATTATCTTGGTTTACATAAACGGCAGAACAGTTCAAGACTTCGTGTTCACTGGATAGCCAGTAAATCCGATAGACTTTACTATGTGGGGTTCAAAGCCAAAAGCTACATTTTCTGATGCCAGGATTATTCCGTTGCACTCTCTCCGAGTCTTTGTTGTTAAGCATTGTCCGTTTATTGTTATTCGGTCATTTTTTATTCATATGGGAGATTGTTGAAAAAATAATGGCTTTTTAGTGACTTAATGCAATATTAAAGTGGGTGTCAATCCTCAATTGAGGTGAATTAAAGTGAGTTTAGATTCTTTGTAGTGGGATCTTTACACCACAAAAAAGAATGATAAAAAACTATTAAGATATGAATGAGAAATTGACTCATTAAGTTGGGCTCTTGAAAGAGGTGTTGGGAAATGTGTAAAACCTTGTATCCCACATTGATTGTAGCGGAGAGCATTGATAGGTATTTAAATCCAATTTTTTGCATTAGGGTGTAAGCCCTTTGGGGCATCCAAATTTTCTGAAGGAAGGGAGTTATGGATACTTCAAGGATGGACTTGGGCCAAGACTATGGTCCAAGTTGGTTATGCAAAAATTTCCACCCGCGCGCGCGCCGCCTGCCTGCCCAGACTGGATCGAGCCGAGGCTAGGTCTGTGATTCGTGGGTCGTGGATCTTGGACCTTGGGGCTTGGTGCTTGGATTTGGACTTGGGCTTGGGCTTACTGGAATGGATTGAGTGTGGGGGTTGGGCTTGGCCCACCCATCCTAATTTTTTTTGGGCCAAGTCAGATGTATGGGCTGTAGGAATATATACACAAAACCTAGTCTCCTTTATTGATGATGGAATTAAACCCATCAATTTTGCAGAATTAATTCAGGTTAATGCAGAATTAATTCCTACATTTGTTGCAAGAGAGCCTCTTCCTCTCTTCCTCCATGTGTATAAAAGGAGACCCTCTCCTTCAGCTTTCTATATCAAAAATTGCTACTATTCCAGTCTTCAGAAGTTTTCCAATTTATTATTTTCTTCCTGTGAGAGAGTGCTGCAAAGTTTTGTTCACCGAAACTATTTAGTTGGTGCATTGCGTAGCTAGTCCAACTGTCGTATCCTGGGAGACAAACGTCAAACAACCTCCAGCACCCAACCGGTGAGGTGGCAAATCTATTTTAAAGACACTATCTAGTGCAGGCTTCAGTTTGTTTCCTTTTGCTAGTTTTATCTTATAATGAATTCTGTAAATTCAAGCATCACTACAAGAAAAGAGGGCAAAAAACACGGAAGCATTTGCGATAGCGGGTTCCCCGTCGCAAAAAATCATCTTTTGTGACGGCAAAATTAACCGTCGCAAAAAATAGTTTTAGCGACGGCGTTTAACCGTTGGTAACAAAACTGCACGGGCAGGTATTAAAATGCGGAAGTATTAGCGACGGTGTGTTGAACCGTCGCCAAAAAAAAAATGTTTGAGATGGATAAGTTTGCTGTCGCAAATACTCGACAATTTGCGATGGCAAATGTCCGTCGCGAAAAAAGGATTACCAAAACGACATTGGTTTATTAATAATTATGTATCATTTGCGACGGTGTAAACCGTCCCGTCGCAAAAAGTAAAAAAAAAATTTCCCCCCCCTCTTCCCTTTCATCTTGCCGCTCAGTTGGATCGAAATCCCTAAAATTGTTTGAAACAAAATTTGTTTCCCCCAAAATCCCCAAACGAGCTACGGGCGACGAACGGCGAAGGGCTAGCGGTGGTGCGGTGGTGCGGCGACGATGAGCGACGAACGGCGAAGGGCTAGCGGTGGTGCGGTGGTGCGGCGACGATGAGCGACGAACGGCGAAGGGCTAGCGGTGGTGCGGTGGTGCGGCGACGATGAGCGACGAACGGCGAAGGGCTAGCGGTGGTGCGGTGGTGCGGCGACGATGAGCGACGAACGGCGAAGGGCTAGCGGTGGTGCGGTGGTGCGGCGACGATGAGCGACGAACGGCGAAGGGCTAGCGGTGGTGCGGTGGTGCGGCGACGATGAGCGACGAACGGCGAAGGGCTAGCGGTGGTGCGGTGGTGCGGCGACGATGAGCGACGAACGGCGAAGGGCTAGCGGTGGTGCGGTGGTGCGGCGACGATGAGCGACGAACGGCGAAGGGCTAGCGGTGGTGCGGTGGTGCGGCGACGATGAGCGACGAACGGCGAAGGGCTAGCGGTGGTGCGGTGGTGCGGCGACGATGAGCGACGAACGGCGAAGGGCTAGCGAGGCATTCAATATGCATTAAGGCATGGTTTGGGAACACTCAAATAAGTTATTTAATGATTTATTTTTATCATATTACCCCTCATTTCCATTGAACACACCTCTCTGAGACTATAGTTTACTCCTTCCAGACCCCATTAACTAGACTAATTTTGGTGTAAATCTTACTTATATTTTTAGTGATGTAAGAAAATTAAATAAATCTTGTTGTATATTTGTGCTTGATTTATTTATTATTTTTGTGTGTTTTCAATTATGTTTGGTCTCAACTCTCACACTGTGGTTTCTTTGGGTGGTGTCTCATATTGAATGGCTTGGTGAAGAACCGAGACTGAGACCAAACAATAGTGAAAAACCGAAACTGAGACCAAACATATCTGTATTCATTTACCTTTATTAAACCTTCTTTTTAATATCATTTAATAAATATCTGTGTCTGTTTGTTTTTTTATAGCAAAATAGGCACGTTAACCTGACCATGAAATCTTGATTGGAAAGGGATGAGTCGTTCTGAGAATTTATATAGTCCTATATATGTATTTGATTATATTTTGGTTTTCAAACTTGATATCTGCAAACTCCAGGAGGGCTTAAGCCTCTGCCCACTGGTTTTCTTTTATAACTTTGCACTTGTTTGTTTTTTACTTCATTTGAATTTAAAAAAAAAAAAAGATTGTATTTTGGTTTTCATTTTTGTTTTTCTTCTAAAAAATTTGAAAATTTTGTTCGTCTTAGTTGTTGAAAGTGGTGACTGGTGACGGTGGTTAGAGGGGTTGCCAATGGGTGACGGAGCATAGATGAGTTTTGAGTTTGCTAAAAGGATCTCTTGATTTTGGGTAATAAAAAAAAAAAGAGTAGAATTTAATTTTGAATAGGTTTGAGTTAAAGAGCATAGATGAGTTTTGAGTATTTTTTAGACAAACTTAAATAGATGAGTTTTGAGTATTTTTTTGAATAGGTTTGAGTTAAAGGTATTATATTTAGAGTTACTTTGATGAGATATTTTTGTGGATGTGTACAGATGATGGATAAGAGTTGGATTGATTTGCCAAATAGGATGTCGAGGGAATACAATAATGGGATTGATGAATTCCTTGTGCTTGCCTACACCAATAGGGTTGAAGGATCGATGATCAGTTGTCCGTGTAGGAAGTGCGAGAATCGATACTATTTTGTACGAGAGGGTGTACGTGAGCATCTGATTTTGAATGGTTTTTTTAAAAAATACAAACATTGGATTAATCATGGGGAATCTTACGTATCTCTGCATGGTAATCGAGAGAATGAAACATTAGCTAATTTAGACATTGGGGA